GAGTCCCCTCTTGGTTTCTTTCCTAACTAGTCGCGGAAAGAGTTCCAACTTCCTTGTAGATATCCTAGAACTCTGCATCAAAAGGAATCCGACCGGAAGAGCCAAGCAAGTTTAGACATACCATCCACAACCTTGTTACACTCTCGAGAGATGTAAACAACATCCAAATTCCAACAACGTCTAGTAAGGTCTATTATGTGTACCATCAAAGATGAGTCCCCTCTTGGTTTCTTTCCTAACTAGTCGCGGAAAGAGTTCCAACTTCCTTGTAGATATCCTAGAACTCTGCATCAAGAATCGAGCAAATACCAATGGATTTGGAGAAACCAGTAACCCGTTGACATGAAGAGTCCCTGATACCACCACCACATGCACTCATACTCGAATTAAATATCTTCGCCCCATTAGTATTAAGTTTAAACCATCCCAGCTGAGGAGGGTCCAAAGGGTTGCTCAGTTGGAATTACTCACTATAGGAGCAATAGAAAGACGAGCATGGGTGGCTCCATGTTGCATGTGTATGCTTCGATGCAAGATATCTTCGTCTGTAACAAATTCAGGATCAAAAACAGTTTTATTACGTCCAAGTCACAGGTTCCAGAGTATTAAACCGAAGAGAAGATCCATTCCACCACATCGATCGGGAAATAGCTTGGGTTACGCAAATTACGGTCAATCCTGTTGGGACCGTCGGCGCAACCCATGACGCAGCGGAAACAAAACTTGACGATTTCACTAGCGATCCAAGTACGAAAAACTGAAATCGGGAGGAAGGAATGCGAATACTTACAGCGGGTTCCTTGAAAAATAGCAAGGACAACAATGAATATTGTGGTGTAGATCGGTTCGAATCATAAGCTTACACGAAATCACGTCTCGGCCTCTATTCAGTTCACCCGATTGAGAGCAATAATTTTCTTCCCCAAAACCGTTTTGAGAGAAAAACGGCTGAAGGTTTTATGTGTGTTCTAAAACGGCTGCTAGACCTAACACACCCTTTTATAGCTAAGTTACCCTAATCATATTATGGTTTTATTATTTCAAATTAATTAAATCTATATTTAATTAATTGAAATTAAATATTCGGGATTATTAAAACATAAATTTAATTAACTCTAGATATATATTTTAGTAACGTACAACAAATTGTATATCTTTGCTTATTTCAATCCTACGATGTGACTGTAGTTTCTTGTAACGTTAGCAGTAATTATTAGCAATTCTAATATTACATACAATGAGTGACATGAAAATATGATTCAACATATCATCTTGGTGATTAACTCTTTTATGTATTACATCCTTATGTAATTTATATCTAGAATAGACACAAGTCTTGGAATAATCACACTTGTATAGCCCATCTATTATTTCTTGATATCTAGAGTAGACTTTAATTAATGAATAGTTTATGATATCTCATATCAACTTATTCGAGCATGACCATGCGTTTCTAGTCTTACTCAATCAAGTGACATGTGATATATTTCCTATTATGTAGGAATGACAAATCTTATCTTAATCATACACACCCACTACATATATTGAGATATATTTAATAACAGTTTTTATAGAGCAACCAGTTACGGAGCTTGTTTAGCTGCATCGAAACATACAACAATATATGTTGGGATAATATTGATCTCAAGTTTGAGGATCATACATATAATCATCACTATGAGCAATGTTATGACTGTCACATAATAATCCAAGACATATATTCACGGTGGGTCAATCCAATACATTGTTCTCTAACAATATAATCATGTATCAATTCTGACATCTCTATGTCAATGACAACTCGTTGTAATCAATCAATAACATGTTAGTCTTAAGCGTATTATTATTGTCCATGCCCATAATAATACTTGACTAGAAATCTTTTAATAATAAAAATATGTCATTATATGGACTTTATTATCTTCGAGTTTATGTTAAACACATATATATAACTGAAAATAATAAACAATGCATTTATTCAATAAAATCGGTAAATAAAAGTATTATTACAATCATTATATGATTGACCTTTGGGCATACTCTAACAAATCCAAATCACCAAAGGAAAAATTCCGCTACACGATTTGGTTTTATAATAGTATTCCAAATCGATTTAGCCGTAAAACAATGCCGGAGTATATGCAAAGATGATCCAATCGCGGCACCACATATCACACAACCCGCTTTGGAAGACATATGCCGCCTGACATGCTCCTCATTCGATAGGAGACTACCCCGACAAATAAGCTAAACAATTTTTTAACTCCGGGGAAACCCTTGTAGCGCGAAATTAAATTCCAAAGAGAAGAATTATCATTCATAACCACATTAACTCTTCAGTTGTGCGCTCTTAGTGGAGAAAGTCTATACTATCTCCATCTAGGAGTTAATATGTTTTAAGTACTCATAATGATCAGCAAATCATCTATGGAAGGAAATTTGCATTGTTGGGAAATGTTAAAAGTCTACAACTTTAAGAGAAATATATAAGTATAATTTAACAGTATTATATATAAATATATATCATGTTATACAAAATAAAACTCTTTTAGTTTTACACAGATTTAGGATCGTTGGATGAGTGAAAATTGATGACTGAGATTAAAAATATTAAATGAAAAGATATTCGGTAAAAAAAGAAATAAAGAGTCAATCTCAATCATATATTTTCACTTATTCAACGGTCCTAAATGTGTGTAAAACTAAAAAATTATACATTGAGTAAGTGGATATATATATATATACACACACATATAATATTCTAGAATAATATAGAATAATATAAAAATAGTATTTGTCTAGAAATATTCATAAAATAATTTATATATTTATAATATTTAATATTATGTCTAGAATTATCTATACAAGAATCTAATATTTGTAAGGTTAAATGACTAAAATATTGACATGCGTCAACAATCCAATGACAACTAAAATCTATAAATAGGGGTGAGATTTATCATTTTAAATAGAGCGAAAAGGAAAGAAAAGAGTGTCAAAAGTGTGAGTTGAAAAAGAGAGCTTAGAGGTAGAAAATAGAAAAATAATGAGATTAGTGTCTAACATTGTAATTGTATTGTGTATTAATAAAAAAGTTCTTTTATTATAAGTTTCCCGGTTAAGTCTTGATTTGTTTTAAGTTCTTAGTTCATTTGTGTTAATTTTAATATATGACCGACTCTGTCGTCTGAATAATATATGGTTGGCTCTACCAATTGAATGATATATGTTCAATCTTGTTACCTAATTATTATTGTGCAATAAGAACTTATAGAATAAAAGGCTAACAAACGACAAAGAATTGGCGTAGTATTGGTGGTACATTCTAGGTCCTCTATAGATAGTGAATTGGGTTCGTCGAAGTTTCCAACACAAGCGTTTACATCTACTACACTATATTATCGTGTTTAATTCCCTGGATTTTGTATAAACATATGAGTTGTATATTTATTTTCCACTTCTCCAGCTACAAGTTGATATTTTCTTAGTTATTTTTTTGGAAAGTCATTCTTCTAGTTCGCCTATCGAGAGTAATGGTCAATTCTACCGTCAAAGTGAGCATGAAATAACTAAAAAGTTCTTTGGCATGAAAAGTCAGCAACATGAATTATGTATCAAGTTAAAACTCATCATCGCCCTCAAGCTTCTCATCTAAGTTTGACAAAAGATATATTGAATTCTACACTTGGAAAATTAGATGAGTAGATTTGTTTGAAAGTCTATTTTTTTATTTATCTTTCTATATCGTGTATGACAAAATTTAATTTATAATTCATAGTTTTTAATATTTTGGATTTTTTTGCATGAGAAAATTATACCTTTATCATTCTGTTAGATTGGATAGTTCATGTATTAAGATCAATTCAAGAGGAAGAGGAAGAGGAATATGAAATGTAGTTTATGCCTTATATTCGGTTGATTTGTGTTTTTTAATGGTGATGAGTGCATGTGGTGCATTATAGTTGATTTTGAATTTTTTTGTGAATAGGTCCGTCTGTTTATTAATAGATTATAATTTAGTCTTAATTGAGGGTTTTACCAAACCTGTTCATGCTTACGTATAGTCGATGTTTGGCTTTATGTTTCCTTATTTATATCTAGGCTTTTCTCGGAGTACCTAGGAATGCAAACTATGTTGGCTATTGTTTATAGAACTTTTGAAGGTGTTAAAGCTTGGGAAACATTCAACATGGATGGCTGCATTTACAAAACTTATGGTCTGCAAGGGATTGCAGCTTCTATTGGGAGATCTCTAGACGGCCGATTTCTTGTAATTTAACCGGAAACTTTAAGGTATATATCTCTTATATTTGTTTTTCATTAAACTCTTGTTTATTGTTGACATCTTAATTTTTTTTTTCATTTGCCTCCTCCTGTAGACCTTATGCTGGTGGTGTATAGAAAACGAACTCTTAACATTTTATTGATTAATCAGGTTGTTCTGTTGTTGCCTCATAGTTCGATATCAAGGAAGAGGTAGGTGTGAGATCCTCGAAGACCTTGACAATGTCAGAGGTTTGGGGTGAATGTTCAATCAAGTCGAGTCAAAAAATTTTGAGTTATTCGAGTTGACAAGTATTATTTTATAATTCAATGTTACTTGAAATTTTTTCGTTCGAGTCGAGTTTAATAAATACATTTGTTTTCTCAATGTTGGAAAAAAAACGAAATACGGTAACTCCCTATATGTTTTCTCAATATTTGAACTCTAAACCTATAATTGAAAAAAATGACAATGCATGTTTTAGTTATTATCATATTCATACTTAAAATTTACACTACTATTGACATAAAAAAATACGAAATACAGTAACTCCCTATAACCTTCCATAACATGTTGGAGTTAAAATCAAGCCTTATTAGTTATTTCAATATCATGGGAAAAAATGGAACCATAAAATTATATTTCATACTATTAGAAGAAGCATTCGGCTTTAAACTTGTAGGCCAGCCATGAAAGCAACCCCGGTTGATGGTAACCATGAAGATCCATAAATAAATTATGTCGGGAAGCTAGCTTTGGAGGCGGCGAGATCCGGTGTGGGTAGGATCCGTGATTTGTGGATCGATATGCCGGTATTTTGGTTTGGATCTTTTCGGTTTTGGGCAGTAACGGTGTTTTTCTGTGATGTCATGGGTTTTCGAGCGTAAATGTTACAGTCTTGGATTACCACCGCGGCATTACCAAAAATGAAATCCACCGTACCGTAAATGTTGCATTCACGGTAAAATTGACGGTTCGAGTGAACGTATAAAGTGTCTTGGTAGCCGATGATGTTACACATGTATACGACACCATGATCGGCCCCGATCCGAAGAGCCACCGCTTGATGCTTGGCTGGTCCAGCGTAGTTCTCGAATGTCATGTCCCTTGCAATAAAACCAGATCCAGTTGCGGCTGAATGGAAACAAAGCAATGAATTATACAGCTTTCACTGAAAATGAAGCTAACATTATAGAACTTGATAAGGAGATAAACTAGAAGAATTGTGACTTTTATCATTCCAATATAATAGACGGTCTGTTCTACCAATATCGTATAAAATATCGAATTTCTTGTCACATGTCATTAATGTCACTCTTAATTTTTATCATATGATTTTAAATGTAATTGGATAACAAAGACATCTTTTCAGGAAAGAAACAGAAGGGAATCAGGACATTCCTGTTATTCCAATAAGAGCTTCTGCCTCAATCCTAATTCAGATATAAAAATACTATACAAATACGACATAACTAATAAATATAAAATAGTATAATACATCTAAGTATGATTAATTCTATGTACCAAAAAAAGTAATGTATGATTTTTTTTAATTTGGAATTGTATGGACAAGGAAGTAGATAAGATAAGGTGATCTGGCTGCTGTAATCTGGGGACTGTCTGTCTAATAGCATACCACATGCGATTTCTACATCATGCGCCATGGACTTGTTTAATTGTTTTAGGACCAATAGTTTTCATTTGTTTTCCCCACGAAAATTTAAAAGTTAATTGCATCACATGCACTCAAAATATGACTTTTATTTCAAATTGGTCCCTAAACTTTTAAATATTTCAATTTTATTCTTAAACTATTACTAGTATTCTAAATTAGTCCTCAAACTTTTGAGTATTTCAATTTCATCCCCAAACTATAACCATTCCAAATTGGTCCCCAAACGTTTTGAATATTCCAATTTTATCCCAAACTATAAATATATACTAATCACATCTCTTGTTAACAAAATCATTAGACCAAGCTATATTATTATATGTTTAAAAAAAACTAAATTTAGGTTAAACTATGGTAGAAATTGATTACATATTTGGATGAGTTTGGGGATGAAATTGGAAGATTCAAAAGTTTGGGGACCAATTTAAAATAAGAGTTATAGTTTGGAGACATATGATGCAATTAACCCAAAAATTAATTTGTTTTAATTTTACTAAAATTCTATATTTATGGATAAAATAAATTATGATTTATAGTTTTTATGTAAATATTTTAGTATAGTTTTTGACATTTAACTCATTGATCGATTAATTCAAAGCATATATTATAAAGGTCCATTATAAGACACTTTCAATTTAGTTTGTTCTATTCACAACATCAGAATTGTAACTCTTAATATTACTTAAAAAATCGAACATCTCCTCTCGTTAAACCAATTTATAATCAGTAGTTTTTATTTTAATAATATATAACAATTTATATACTAATGATTAATTAAATAATATTTTTATTTTTAATAATGTGATATCTTCGAAATGATAATATATATCAATCAATGCTTATAATATTAATCCAATATTGCCCAGACGTTGTTGGTTAGCTAGTGTTTATACCACCACAATCCCAACAAGGTTCAAAGGCTGGTGAAGCAAAGGATATTAGGCTTGTGAAAATAATATTAATCCAATAAAAAAAGTCTAATAATATTTTAATTTTAAACTTTAAAAATTATTTATTATTAATTTACGTTAAAATTGATGTTAATTTAATGAATTTGCTTCTTTTTATATAATTTGATTTAATTTAATACAAAATTAAAATAAAAAATAAGATCTATTTAAAAAAATTATTAGCTAAAAATGTTATTTAGACCATGGGTAAGCATAACTTACCGAAGGCAGCAGTATGAAATGTGGTAAGATCATCGGAAACACTCTTTCCACCGGCAATGACTGTTTTACCCTTTCCGTCACCTATAAACATCAAGTTTGTTTTCTTCCTCCCCACCTTCAAATTATCCTCTTCGTACCTGTAATATACAGTACAAATTTTCTTTTATGTACTAAATTCTTCATCCTCATACCTTTGTAATTTGTCTCCAATGTTAAAACAATAATTTATTGAATTTGTGATAATTTATCATTAGTACAAAATTTAAAGTATATATTATATATCAGAAGTCTATTAATATTGATGAAGATTATATTCAATATAAATTTTATTTGATTAAAAATATTTTAAAAGTCCAATAAAAAAGCGGAACACCCACCGAACAAAAGAGAAAATATTAACCAATAAATTAATTATAAAATAGTAGTAACGAAAAGTTAACGAATTTTATGGAAAAGGTGAGCCAAAAAGGAAAAAGTTACAGTAAATTATGATATTTAATTAAAACCGAAAATTTTACCTTCCTGCCCTCACATAGATGATGATACGCCGACTACTATGCTCCGGCGCCTTTTTGATCGCCTCGGTAATTGTTTTAACGGTGCCGTTTCCATCTTTCGATACGATTATATCGGCCTGGATCGCCGACACCGGAGTTCTTAGTAACTCTCTTTCTTTTCTCCCCAGCCATTTCGGGAAATTCTCCTCGTCGATACTTGCTCCCGATAAATCGTCGTCCGACGATAGCAACCTCCTGCTCTGAATCGGCGCTCCGGCGAAATCGTCTCCACCGCTGGCAGCGAAGATCGAAAGGCAGTTACTCACAAGCTCCGATAAGTCCTTCAGTTTGTCGGTCACTTGATCCTTCACCGTCCCGCTCACTCCCTCGAACCCCTCAGTACACGTGTCTTGGTTCGTCAAAGCGGCGCTGAGCCACGTCATCACGTCATGAGTGGACCCGCCTTCTTGAGAAGGAATGACGGAGGAGAGGGAACGGGAGAGGGAGTCGACCGAATCTTCCAGAAGCTCGAGGCAGTCGTCGTACGCCGACCGTACACGTGGATCCATCTGGACGTAGGAGATCGAGGTGGTCGTGTAAAGAGCCTTGCTGAAGTGCTGCAACGTCATATTGAAGGAAATGTGAACCAGGTCTTGCTCATTAGCAGTGAGCGAGCCAGGGAACTCGAGCAGTGAGTTGACGCAGAGGTTAGGGAACCGAGTTTTGCTACAGGTTTTAGAAATAGCCTGGGTGGGCTTACGGCGAACTTGCGTGCCAATTGAGTCAGCGCCGCCGTCACGGAGTCCAATTACGAGGCCAGCACAAACAGCCGAAACAATGATCATTGTCACCGCAATAACAGAAAGAATAACAATCTTTCTCCTGTTACTCTTAGCTTTGTGTTCTTCGTGATTTTGTTGCTGAATATCTCCAGAGCCTCCAGGTTGTGATGGTTGCAGCCTATCATACGCCATTTCCGATCTTTTTTCTCTGGTAATGGCTGCAAAATCAGTAACTTAGAAAATGCAGATAGAGAATATATCGAAGAAAGGGAAGGTGATTAAAGGCTATTAATATCACTACAACACTATAATAAGAGTTAATGAGAGTGTTTGGATTATATAACAGAAAAAAACTGGTGGAAGTGATTGAGTAATAGAGAAGGTTGGTGCTAAGTCTATTTCGCAAGCACGAGCTGTCCACTACTTTCAGCTCTTCTGCCCATGGGAGAGGATGGACTATAAATTAAACACCTCATAATTTAAATATATATAAATACTTGTAACTGTATTTCTTCATAATTTAAATTTATTTTTCTACAAATATATCGTGTCTTGTTATTATATTTAATACTTATTACTTTTATGTATTTCCACTAGTTAATAAGCTTTATTAAAAAAGATAATTAGATAGTGAAATAAAAATTTTATTTTATAAATAAATTTATTTAAATGTCATTTAATATTTTAAACCTTCAGTCGTATTTTTTAATTTTAAATCTTGAATCATAAATTTTAAATTATAAAACCTATAATTCTAAATCCTGAATGAAACACACAATATCACTAAATTTTAATTTTAGTGAAACATACATTTTAAATTATAAAACCTATAATTCTAAATCCTGAATGAAACACATAATATCACTGAAATTATATTTGTGAAATATTTTTTAGAGAAAGAAGTATAAAGAGAGAAAGATTAAAGTATATATTTAACTTTTATAAATTTAAATATCTTAAAATTTAATTTTTTAAATAGCTGCTAATAAATAAGGGTAAATTATGTCGCTGTGTATTTAATTTACTTCCTCATATAAAAGAAGCAATTAACTTTGTTTTATTTTTTATGATAATCTTTTTTTAATAATTTCTACTTAGAAAAAAAGGAGAATGAGATTTTTATTCTTACTGAACATTGAACTCATAATTTAGAAGATAAAAGAGATGTCAATTGCAAATCTTTAACCATTTACTTTAAAGATGATCGACTTTTTCGATAATTTTGTAAATAAAAAAGTGATTGAGAAAATATATTAGAAAAGATTTATGGGATTCGCTTAAGGAAACATATAGTAAATGATTTAACAGAAGAAAGTTGAGAAGACTTTTTTCAAGCTTTTAAGCAGTTAAAGTAAATAACTTAGTTAACAAGTTTGTTCCACAATATGTCAGTTACTTATGCCACATCATTCAACTAAAGAGACGTTTTTAAATATAATCTCGCCTTTTTCCTAGTATCTTTCCGACAGTAATTACGATTTATTGTTTTTAGTTAGTTGTTTGGTTTGGTATGGCACATTAAGTACGTACTTTCTCGTAATGACAAAATCTGATTTCACTATTATTCTATTACACAAAATACAAATAAAACAATTTAAAGTGTAAATTAAGAAGGTGGACTATAGAATAAAGTGCTCAAATAAATCAAATCTAGCATTGAAAAGAATATTAGTTAACTTTTTAAGAAAATGCATTTGCTTAGTTATTAGATTAGATAAATACTATATTTTCAATATATATTTTCTGATATACATAAAACAGACATTTTTAATACAATAAAAAATAGTTCAAAATTAATTGGTTATATATATTTTGTTTTTTTGTATCTAATTAATATGTATAAAAATTATGAATTATATAATAATTTAGCAAACGATATACTTTAGTGTACCATGAAGATTATCAAGCATCCAAAATGTTCAAACAACAAGAATATATACCATTATTATAGCACACACCAACCAGCTGTTTTTCTTTTTTCCTTTAATGAATCACAATTAAATTAAATTAACATTTTAAAAGTTTAATTGGATAGAATATAAAATAATGGCTAATATAAAACTTGACCGTATTGTCTTCACAATCATGGTTGCGGTGGTAAGTCTTGGTCTCATTGGTTTCTTGCTGTTACTGTCACACCCGAAATTTTTAATTTAAAATTTATTTAATTTATTTGATTTAATTAAGGGACTAAAATAGATAGTTTTGAAAGTTCTAGGCCAATCTCGTAAGTTTAGCAAGTTTAGGGACTTAACCTTGAATTATCCTATTTTTAGGTCAGTTGAGGAAAAAATGGATTAGGTGTGGCTAAGGGGTCTTGTACCCATAACCTTAGGATCATGGGCACTCATACCCTAGCAGCTAGGCTAGGCACTTGTTTGATTTTTTAATTCATAAATTTATATTTTATAATAATTTGGTTTGGGTTATAACCTAAAACCAAACCAAAAACCCCTCGGTTTGAGAGTCAAGCCTCAAACCCCAAACTCATTCTTCCTTAAATATCAAACTCTTTCGTCCACCACTTGACAGTCGTCTCCGTAGGTGGTGGAGTGTACCACTGCTCCTTCGTGCTCGACAACAACTCGCGAACCAACCCCAACCCCTGGTTTACCCGGATCGACCACCGTCACTTGCCTCACCACCGTCGCCACTGTGTTCCCTAGCCAATTTCGACCAGAATCCAATCGGTGGGTCACTCTATCATCATTATTTTCTCCGTTGTCGGTGTGGGTAAGCTCGATTTTAAATTTTTGGTTAAGTTTTCTCGATTTTGACATAGTTTTGGATGAAATTTTGGTTAAATCTTAATTATATTGATAATTGGATGATTGCGGAGCAATCTATAGATCACCCTGACCCATCGACGCCGTCATATGTCGCCACGAGTTACCGCATGGGCGTGAGGCTCTCCTCTAGCCGTGGTATCTTCTAGGAATGGTCTAGTTGGACCGAACCGACCCAACCTGGTCTAAATCGCGTCTGTTTGACCCGATCGAGTCAATTCAAACTGAACTCGTCTGAGTCAACTCGGATAGAAATGAGTCAACCTGAACCAGTCTGAGTCAACCCGAACTAGTATGACCCGTTGACTTTGGACTTTGACCGTTAACGGTTGACCTGCCATTGACCAACCCGTTGACTTTGACGGTTGAATTTGACTAAAAAGTAAAAATTTTCAAAAAGTCTTATTTATATTTTTTGACGTCCTAAGTCTAAACCCTAAGTTTCTTTTGCCAAATTCAAACTTGAAAGCCTCTGAATTGGCCGTCAAACCCAAATGTGCATATGTACTTTAAGTATTTATTTTAGTGCATCTATTTTAATTGAAGGGTCAAGGATAAATTTATGATGATGTCGTATATTTAAGGTACTCGTGGATCTCCTGACCGTTCGTCTGCTCGGGTAGATTCCTCTCAATATGTTTGTCAGCACGATCCCGTGATTACACGTATAGTTCTGTAACCTTGTTAAATATTTAGTTTAAATTATTCCTTCGATTATAACTCTGTTATGATATAACCTAGGTTCGCGTACAATAGAAGAATGTAGTGAAGCTGGTGCTCGGTAGATATTCCAGACTGTTTTTTTGCGAGGTATGTTCCTTGTGTTATATATAAATGTCGATTTTAAATATCTGTTTTAAATACCATGTGCACATGATTATATTTTCTGATTTGAAATGAATTGTTTGCTCTGATTTGACTACCGTATGACTTATCTGATTTAAGTATGATTCTTGATTTACTATATTTTAAATAATGCTTGCTTGACACCTGTTATATGGTTACTGTTTTTACTGAGAAATAAGTATGTCTGAACTCAGATTTTCTGCTACCACTGGCTACTGTCTAAAAAAATATTTTTCTTCTGGGTACTTTGGATCTAGTAAAAAGTCTCTGCAGGTTCAGCTTCGGTCAAACTGGTAATTCCTTATATAGGTTCAGACCGATCGAGCTGGTAATTCTTTATGTACCTAAGGCAATCCTTGGGTGGGTTCCAGGCCCAATGGGCCAAGTGGTAAGACCTTATGGATCCTAAGGTACTCCTTTAGGGTGACTACTTTGCTATGTGCATTGGGTAAGTCCTTATGGGCCTGAGGGCACACCCTTCAGGTGGGCACATATGTTTCGACTAAGGTAAGACCTTATGGATCAAAAGTGCTCCCTTAGGTTACATCTACGCCTTTTGGGCCTAGGATAAGTGTTGAGTTAATCGATCGATGGAATCGACCAAGAGGGGGGTAAATTGGCAATTAAAATTTTGGTGGAAGCTTTTGCAGAAAATTGAAAGTAATGGCACATCGATTTACAGTGGTTCGACTTTCTCAACAAAGTCTACGTCCACTACCTTAGCTATCCACACTAAGGATTTTCCAACAAATTCACTAATTTTTTCTTTCTTTTGAGACCAAAAAGATAACCTTACAACTCCCTCAAGAATTATACCCCAATTCTTGAGAACACTCTTTCTCAAAGAGAAGATTACAAATTTCACAAACTTACAAGAAAAACCTCACCTTCACCTCTATCTGTTAGTTGAGGCTATTCTTTAGGTTCACTTTGATACCGAGTTACGAGTACCGTGGGAATCGACATGGGGGAGAGTGCCATAAGAAGATGGGTACCTGTTATTGTTGTGGATCCAGTGAACACTTTTTGAGAAATTGTCCGCATCCAACCTCTGTCGATCAAACCCCCACTCAGACTCAAACATGATCACAAGCTTCTATTAAACTCCCTCTAGGAGTCACAATTAGGGAAAGATTTCGAGATCTGTTTCTAGGATCGACAGTAGAGCTCGATCACATATTAGATGACCAACTGCTTCTGAGGCTTGACAAACTGCCCTTGTCTACGCTACTTGACGTTATGGTGATAGAGATGAACCAAGACTTTTTCAGGTACATTTATTGCTATTTCTATTTCTTTCCATGCATACCATATAATGCCCTTTCTATAATCGAGTTTTTTATCTTAAGATCTTTGGATTATCGATTTAAGGCATCGAGACCCTTGTTTCCGCTCCGAGTCAGTAAGATTCTTTATTTGAGACCTAGTTTTTAGTTTCTGTTCAACTAGAATGAATTTCGATGACAAAATTATTTTAAGGGGAGAAGAATTGTAACACCCCTAAATTTTTAATTTAAAATTTATTTAATTTAATTAAGGGACTAAAATGGATAATTTTGGGTCAATCCCATAAGTTTAGGAAGTTTAGAGACTTAACCCTGAATTATCTAATTTTTTGGTCAGTTGAGAAAAAATGGATTAGGTGTAGCTAAGGGGTGTTGAACCCGTGACCTTAGGGTCACAGACACACATGCCCTAGCCACTAGGCTAGGCTCCTGCTTGAGTTTTTAATTAATAAATTTATATTTTATAATAAATTGGTTTGGGTTATAACCCAAAACCAAACCAAAAACCACCAGTTTGTGATTTA